AAGAATCAGTTCTATAATGGGGGAAAATGCGAACGAATCGGTTTTATAATGGGGAAAATGATAAAAAAAATCAATCTTATAATGGGAAAAATGACAAAGAATCGGTTTTATAATGGGGAAAATGACAAAGACTCGGTTAAATAATAGGGAAAATGACGAAGAATCGGTTTTATAATGGTGAAACTGGTAAGGAATCTGTTTTATTTTGGGGGAAAATGGCAAAGGATTTGTTTTATAATGGTGAAAACGGCAGAGAATTGGGTTTATAATTGGGAAAATGACAAATAATCGGTTTTTTAATGGGAAATATGGCAATATATCGATTTTAAAACGGGTTAAATGACAAAGAATCGGTTTTCTAATGGATTAAAATGACGAAGAATCAGTTTTATAATGGGCAAAAATGGTAAAGAATCGGTTTGATAATTGGGAAAATGGAAAAGAATCAGTTTTATATAGGGGAAAAATGAAAATCGATTTTAAAACGGCAAAGAATCGGTTTTATAATGTTTGCATTGACAAAGAATCGCTTTTAAATGGGAAAAAAAAAGAATCGGTTATATTATGGGGGGAAATGGCAAAGAATAGGTTTTATAATGGGTAAAATGGCAATGAATCGGTTTTATAATTGGGAAAATAGCAAAGAATCGGTTTTATAATGGGAAAAATGGCAAAGAATCGGTTTTATAATGGGGAAAATGGCAAAGAATCTGTTTTATAATGGGAAATGTGGCAAAAAATCGGTTTTATTACGGGTAAAATGACAAAGAATCGATTTTACAATGGGGAAAAATGGGAACGAATCGGTTTTATAATAGGGTGAAATGGCAAAGAATCAGTTTTATATAGGGGGAAATGACAAATAATCGGTTTTTTAATGGGGAAAATGACAAAGACTCGGTTAAATAATAGGGAAAATGACAATCGGTTTTATAATGGGAAAAATGGTAATCTGTTTTATTTTGGGGGAAAATGACAAAGACTCGGTTAAATAATAGGGAAAATGACGAAGAATCGGTTTTCTAATGGATTAAAATGACGAAGAATCAGTTTTATAATGGGCAAAAATGGTAAAGAATCGGTTTGATAATTGGGAAAATGGAAAAGAATCAGTTTTATAAGGATTTGTTTTATAATGGGGAAAATGGCAGAGAATCTGGGTTTATAATTGGGAAAATTTTGTTACAAAATAATCGGTTTTATACTGGGGAAAATGACAAAGAATCGGTTTTATAATGGGGAAAATGACAAAGAATCTGTTTTATAATGGGAAATATGGCAAAAAATCTGTTTTATTTTGGGGGAAAATGGCAAAGGATTTGTTTTATAATGGTGAAAACGGCAGAGAATTGGGTTTATAATTGGGAAAATGACAAATAATCGGTTTTATAATTTGGAAAATGACAAAGAATCAGTTTTATAAAGGGTACAAATTGCAAAGAATCGGTTTTATAATGGAGAAAATGACAAAGAATCGTTTTTATAATTGGGAAAATAGCAAAGAATCAGTTTTGTAATGGTGAAAACGGCAAAGAATCGTTTGATGTAGGTACAAAATGACAAAGAATAGGTTTTTAATGGGGAAAATGGTAAAGAATCGGTTTTGATAATGGATAAAAATGGCAAAGAATCCGTTTTATAATCGGCAAAAATGGCAAAGAATCAGTTTTGTATAGGGGAAAAAATGACAAAAAATCAATTTTATAATTGGGAAATGACAAAGAATCAGTTTTATAATGGGTACAAATTGCAAAGAATCGGTTTTATAATGCGGAAAGCGACAAAGATGCAGTTTTATATAGGGGAAAATGACAAAGGATCAGTTTTATAATGGGGGAAAATGGCAAAGAATCGGTTTTTTAATGGGAAAAATTACATCGAATCAGTTTTACGTATTAGAAAAATGTCAAAAAATCAGTTTTATAAATAGATAAATGGCAAAAAATTGGTTTTATTAATCGGAACATGACAAAGGATCGGTTTTTTAATCCGGAAAATGGAAAAGAATCTGTTTTATATAGGGGAAAATGACAAAGATTCGGTCATATAATGGGGAAAATGACGAAGAATTGGTTTTATAATGGGGAAATATGGCAAAAAATCTGGTTTTATAATAGGGAAAATGGCATAGAATCGGTTTGATAATGAGAAAAATGTCAAAGAATCAATATTATAATGGTTAAAATGACGAAGAATCAGTTTTATAATGGTGAAAATAGCAAATAATCGGTTTTATAATAGGGTGAAATGGCAAAGAATCAGTTTTATAATGGGGTAAAATGGGAACGAATCGGTTTGATAATGAGGAAAATGGCAAAGAAGTGGTTTAATAATAGTGAAAATGACAAAGAATCAGTTCTGTATAGGAGAAAAATGATAAAAAGGGTTTCCTCTGTTTTGAATGCTGTCATGACGACAATGGTATTTTCAACGCCAGAGATGCACTGCTGCGGTAAGTAAATTTAAATTATCATGTTCTCTGTCTTTATTATAGTAATGCACGTAAGTATGATTGCTTCAAAACACCGTTTAACACGTTATTTTATATTAAAAATTAACGTTCTTAATAGCGAGGTGGTATGAATAGTGAGGTGGATCAGATTGACCGCAAAGAACCATAACCCTGCTTGAAATAAAGACTATAAATATCATTAAGTAATGGACATGTATATCATTCAACAATAACTAAACTGTATATAAAATGTTGAATTTTATGAAATGCATGTGAAAAAGATAAAATTGATAAATTGACAAAAGAATTTTACATTTATATATTCCTTAGTTTATATCATAATATACATGTATATTTGCTGTTGCAACCATTGAATAAAGGAAAACAATCAATTTTAAGTTCAATAGGAATTTAACGTTATTTTTTCCACATAAATTTACAAACACATTCAGTATTTGTAACGGATGTGGACAGCGTCCTCTTCCGCAAGTCCTTTTTAGCGACCGCAATAGCTTATTTCGTTTACGTGGTTTCGTCATTGCTTGATAAAGTGTCGTAAAAATGTCGTAAAAAATTGGAACATATACATTTTTTTAATCATGTGCGCTTGCGAGTAAGGGAATATCGGCCGAAAAGACTACATAATTCGCCTTTGGGTATGCAGGGCTTCTAAGGTAATGAACAGCGTACCTACCTATCTAGCAATATATAAGTAACAAATAATAGATCGCTATTAAAACATGCCTGGCATGTAGTTTCACACAAGTTAAGCCGATAACGATGTTTTTAATGATGAACGACACCCACCTGCTCGCGGTTCACTGCCCTCCAGGTAAACTTTAATCACTGGTCAGAACGTCGTCGTAATTATGAGGTCAATTATCGTTAATTAGTGGTCGTTGGGACTGTAAGAAGTGGTCGTAATACGGAAACATTAAAACTACGTTGCATTTTAAAATAAAATAAAATATTATCTATTCGACATTCCATTTTCCTTTCACCTGTCCCATACATTCCGATCTCAGGAGAAAATACGTTAAAAATATTACTGTGTATAAGCCATCTGTTCAATGTTACAGAATTATTGAACACACATAATTTTAAAGATTTGAATTTACTGGGCAAATACATTATTGAAGCGAACAAACGTAGAAGTATCTGATTATTAATTACAGTTACATTGTACATTTCTGTTTTCTTGTTTTTTTTGTTGTTGTGGTTGATGATGATGATGATGATGATGATGATGATGATGATGATGATGATGATGATGATGATGATGATGATTTGTATGATGATGATGATGATGATGATGTTTGTATATGGGATGATGATGATGATGATGATGATGATGATGATGATGATGATGATGATGTTTGTATATGGGATGATGATGATGATGATGATGATGATGATGATGATGATGATGATGATGATGATGATGATGATGATTTGTATATGGGATGATGATGATGATGATGATGATGATGTTTGTATATTGGATGATGATGATGATGATGATGATGATGATGATGATGTTTGTATATGGTATGATGATGATGATGATGATGTTTGTATGATGTTGATGTGATGATGATGATGTTTGTATGATGATGATGATGATGATGATGATGATGATGATGATGATGATGATGATGATGATGATGTATGGATGATGATGATGATGATGATGATGATGATGATGATGATGATGATGATGATGATGATGATGATTAAAGACATTATAACTTTATGCTGCTCTGGACAGACATTGTTAGGGTTTGACAAGAATTTCAACTTGTGCGATATGCACAGCTTCCTGTTATAAACAATTGAGTGTGGTACGGACTGACACAAAACAACCGCCTTTATTTCTAGGACCTATCTTTATCCATGACAATAGCGAATATGAGACCTATTGTACATTATTTTCATATCTTAGATCTAAACTAGCGGGGGTAGACAAGTCAAAACTCATTATAGAGACAGATGACGAACGAGCCATGGTGAACGCAATCACCGACAACTTTCATGACGCAAGACAGGTACTTTGTACAAGACATTTGAAGCAAAATGCAGTTAACAGGCTAGAAAATGACAAAATTGACAGAAATGAAAGAAAAAACATATCGTAGGAAAACTGTTTGGAGACAATGGACTAGTTGACAGTGACGACTTCATTTGTTTTGGTGACAAATGTGACGAAATTGTAACACTCTGCCAATCTTCAGCGCCAAAGTTTTTGACTTACTTTGACAAACGACTCAAAGAATTGCTGCGACATAAAGTGACAGAACCTCAATGACTTGGACTGATAGAAAAAAAAAACACTGGACAAACAATAATTGCGAGAGCATCAATCATGTCTTGAAACAAACATGTGACTGGAGAGCCAGAATTTGACTGACCTAATACAAAAGACATTTGACTTAGTGACTGTACAATACAAAGACATTAGACGTGCTGTGATAGGTACCAGACAGTTCATGCTCTCAGAGACACATCAGAGATTCCGACTGAGTAGGACGCATGGACAGCAAAAACGAACGAACAAGACATTTAGCTAGGTTGAGAAATTACATACCCCCTGATACAAGAACAGTGACTTCGTCAGACAGATTGACAGCAGTATTGCAACCCCGCACATGTGGCAAAAAACCAGGACAAAGAAAAAGAAAAAAATGCGGACAGAACGACAACAACAACCAAAAAGACAAAGACAGACTGAGATATAGATATGACCGCTAGTATTTCCCAACGTTTATACTGACGACTTTTTACCGATCACCGTTCCATCAATATTGGAGCTCAAAAGGGTAGGGGTCGGTAAATATGGACAAATTGTTTATATAGACTTGACCGCTATTGTGATTTGTGAAAAGAAAAAAAAATCACTTGTGTAACTAAAAATAAATAAATAAATGGGTCTCCATGAAAGCAGGGTCCCCGTTCCCGAGACCTGCGCAATGCATGGAATTCATCAAGTTAATTGATCATTGAAGCTGATGGCTTTCTTTTTTAAATAAATACTTTTATATTGTGAAATGTGTTGTTTTATTGTTTATTTCTTGTTGTATGGTCAGATGACTGAAGAGTTTTTTTTCAATAGATCAACTGAAATATCTTCTTTTTTTTGTTACAGTCAGTTTTCATCTCTTATGTCAAGCATTGGATTCTGGAAATACTGAAACCAAAGAAAAATCAAAGACATAATTGTTAATAATTAATATATTGAATCATGATGCATGCAGACTGTTAATACATCATTGATAAGAACGTACGAGTTATGCCCCTTGTATTCTCACTTTGTGTTCTTGTTTCTGTAACTACATTAGACCATTTAAAATCAATATCAATTATCATAGATTGTATAAGAGGTTTGTTATGAAAATACACCTGCCAAATTAATTTAAAAGCTCTGTTTCAGTCTTGTTTCGGTCTTGTTTCGGTAATTGGGTCTGTTTCGGTAAATCACCTTACCCCTAGCGACGAGGAATTGCACATGGGGCACTCCGGAACACCGCTAGTCACCGGACAGGGAAAACATGTCAACCCATTTCAAGGCGTCGAGGCTACTGTCTCAGCCTGAGCCCCTTCACAGCTCTTCAAGTGATGTCATTGAACTATATAAACAAAACAATACAAAGTATAACTACTGGGGTACTGTGCCACGATCAAAACAACAGTACGCCACAGTTCGGCAAAGTCTGCAGACCATGCGGTAACCTACTACATAACTGAAATACTCGCTCGGATTACAAATATATATGCTGACATTCCTTGTCTAGCAATTAAAACCATTTCTAAGTAACAGTAATTACCCTTTTTACATATTACAACAGCAATAATGCATTGAAATTGGGTCAAAACACATTCACTCGATTTCCCATAGGGAAATTTACATCGCTGTTTCGCTAAATCACATTTTGCAAAAATACACAAAGATACGGAATGACATCTTGAGATTTTACTACCAATGAAAAAAAGAAGGTTTACAGATTTCGACTCGCCCCTGGGAACGTCCTGAACCTCCTTTTACCAACTCGTATTAGTCTTAGACCTCGGCCACAAAACTAGCCGTCCGTCCCTCGCCATTGCTTCTCCATGTGCTTCACCCATGGAGTCCAAAGTGTGCTCTGATTGGTTAAAATTCCCATAACTGACCAATCACCGATTAATAAGAAAGGCCTGCTGTAGTACATTTGAACCCCATAATATACCGTAATATAACAAGACAAATGACCCTGGACAACAAGTAAAGTTATACACTACCGTAAATAACCTAATAAAGAAAAAATGAACTCTGCTGTTTTATTCACATTAAAATAAACAACATAACACTGTTTATCCTAATAACTGGCACTATTTCGTGACATTTATAATGGGGTAAATGACAAAGAATCGGTTTTATCATTTAGGAAAATGGCAAGGAATAGGTTTTATAATGGGGAAAATGGCAAGGAATAGGTTTTATAATGGGGAAAATGGCAAGGAATAGGTTTTATAATGGGGAAAATGGCAAGGAATAGGTTTTATAATGGGGAAAATGACAAAGAATCGGTTTTATCATTTAGGAAAATGGCAAGGAATAGGTTTTATAATGGGGAAAATGGCAAGGAATAGGTTTTATAATGGGGAAAATGACAAAGAATCGGTTTTATCATTTAGGAAAATGGCAAGGAATAGGTTTTATAATGGGGAAAAAGACAAAGAATCGGTTTTATAATTTGGAAAATGACAAAGAATCGGTTTTATCATTTAGGAAAATGGCAAGGAATAGGTTTTATAATGGGGAAAATGGCAAGGAATAGGTTTTATAATGGAGAAAATGACAAAGAATCGGTTTTATCATTTAGGAAAATGGCAAGGAATAGGTTTTATAATGGGGAAAAAGACAAAGAATCGGTTTTATAATTTGGAAAATGACAAAGAATCGGTTTTATCATTTAGGAAAATGGCAAGGAATAGGTTTGGTTCTTTTTTACAATATTTTATCAATATCAAACATATATATATGTAAATCCTACTATGAATGTAAAAACTTGAGGAATGGAATAACTTACAAATATTCAAGGTATGTGTTACACGTCGATTTAAAAAAGGATAATGATGATTAACGAAATCACCCAGAAGACAACCTAAGGTTCGATTTCAGTTACTCTATGCTACCAAGCACTCACTCGGCAGACCTCGTCGCTCCATCTTCATGATTTAATGTAGGCTTTACAACTGAATAGTCACTCGGGAAACCTCGGTCGATTCGTTCCCTATATAAGTTCCCTCTGGTGGTACACATTGCTAAAGAGTGTTAAGACCGTGCACTTTGTTTATATCTGCTTGGAAAAGCAGGCAGTCTGTTCTCGTCTGAATGTCGATCTCCTGCAGGTAGTCTTCGGGAGCTGGCGACATTCACATTACTGGCACAGTTCTAATGTCAGCCATATACAGAATAAATGGCCAAAATTAAGTCCATATCCTAACATTTAAGATATTGAATGGAAGAGTCGAAATTATAACAAATTATTTCGTTATTTTTATAATAAGTAATTTACTCGTGATAAAATAATTTTCTACACTGAAGAGTAGCCACATTAATTCCAGCAAAATCTGCTGTTCTAAATAAGACTCGGTGGTAAATTGGTTAGAGGTATACTATTTTCATCCTAATAATACTTTTGATATTTATAGAGTGTATGAGGTAAAATAGTCGATATCTTAACATTGAAAATAAGTAAACAATCGGTATAGCAATGATCAAATTACTGTACAATTGTGGAGAGTTATTTTCATTTATTTCAAAGGTGTTCTTAGTCTAAGAAGTGACGTGTCCATGAACTGCTTAAGTAGAATTATTGCGAAATAGTTACCCACGAAAACAAATATCCACGAAGTAGTGATTTTTTGAGACCCACGAAAATTGAGATCCACGAAAAATAGTACTTCGTTTTACATCTTAGACTTTGATGCTGATTTTGTAGAGGACTTGACATGGAGAAAAAGATTCTAAAACAACATGAAATATTTTGACAACATAATATTAATTCAAACTCAAATTTCATGAAACTAGAGTCAAACAATTTATCTCCATGTTTCGGAAGGTTATGTAATTAGTAAGTAGGTATCTAAGACAGATATTCTGTGTCCTGGGGATTGAATTGCTGTAAAAATCACAAAGATTTGATCGGTATGTACGTTTATATGTACTGTAGCCGGTACGAGTCACTAATGTAATATACCTTCAGAGCGTTTTTCATTGGCTGTGCTAGTCAGAAATCCCTTAGAACGTTTTTCATTGGCTGCACTAACCAGAAATCCCTTAGAGCGTTTTTCATTGGCTGCGTTAGTCAGAAATCCCTTAGAGCGTTTTTCATTGGCTGCGTTAGTCAGAAATCCCTTAGAGGGTTTTTCATTGGCTGCGATAACCAGAAATCGATGGTGATGTCATAATATGGACAATGAAGCTATGTCATGCATGGTTGCAGAATAGTGTCAGTCTCCGTTTCATTTTGTCATCCATATTTTGAATTTAAAATATGACATGTTTGAGGTTTATTATATTTTTTTTCTTTGCTTGTCATGACTCGTAAAAATAAACACTTCAAAGAGTCATTAAAAAGTCATATGAGCTGAAAACTTATTTAAGATTCTATATGTACTGAGGTACTGCGCGTGTAAAGTTAGACGGCATCTTTAATGATCATAGGAAGATAAACATAATGATAAGCAGTTCACTTAGTGTCAGCCGGTGTATAATAATACATGTGTATAAAGAGTGCTGGTGCTATACTGCGTATTTCTTTATCAAGTGTTTGGAGGTATATTTAGTTTTCGGTGTAGATTGAGTGTTTGGCAATATTTTCATTTTTTCGGAGTTAATTGGATGTTTAAATATCATTTTTAATTAAGGTTTAGCATCATTACAAGAACAATAACTTTTATAGAAATGAAATGCATTGTAAAATATATGGAAAGATTTGTACATGTATAGCTTAGGCGAGGCTTTTAATATTTCTATTTACTCGTTTTTAAGCTACAGTGTATATATGGTCTTTCCTTTAAGAAAGTAATGTCTGTATGAAACGTACAATGTTTGTTCAATAACTAGGCAATCACACCTCCTTATCTAAATTCCTTTCGGTCAATTTTGATTTCCCACATTATCTTCCTAGTTTCAAAATCTAGACCCTCAGCATCACTGACGAGTCCTAGAAAGACGTAACAGCTGTATGATGTAGCATCACTGTCAGGTCATAGAAGGACGTAACAGCTGTATGATGTAGCATCACTGACGAGTCCTAAAAAGACGAATCAGCTGTATGATGTAGCATCACTGACGAGTCCTAGAAAGACGAAACAGCTGTATGATGTAGCATCACTGTCAGGTCCTAGAAGGACGTAACAGCTGTATGATGTAGCATCACTGTCAGGTCATAGAAGGACGTAACAGCTGTATGATGTAGCATCACTGACGAGTCCTAGAAGGACGAAACAGCTGTATGATGTAGCATCACTGTCAGGTGCTAGAAGGACGTAACAGCTGTATGATGTAGCACCACTGACGAGTCCTAGAAGGACGAAACAGCTGTATGATGTAGCATCACTGACGAGTCACAGAAGGACAAAACAGCTGTATGATGTAGCATCACTGTCAGGTCCTAGAAAGACGTAACAGCTGTATGATATAGCATCACTGTCAGGTCATAGAAGGACGTAACAGCTGTATGATGTAGCATCACTGTCAGGTCCTAGAAGGACGTAACAGCTGTATGATGTAGCATCACTGACGAGTCCTAGAAAGACGAAACAGCTGTATGATGTAGCATCACTGTCAGGTCCTAGAAGGACGTAACAGCTGTATGATGTAGCATCACTGTCAGGTCCTAGAAGGACGCAACAGCTGTATGATGTAGCATCACTGACGAGTCCTAGAAGGACGAAACAGCTGTACGATGTAGCATCACTGTCAGGTCCTAGAAGGACGAAACAGCTGTATGATGTAGCATCACTGTCAGGTCTTAGAAAGACGAAACAGCTGTATGATGTAGCATCACTGACGAGTCCTAGAAGGACGAAACAGCTGTATGCAATAGCATCACTGTCAGGTCCTAGAAGGACGAAACAGCTGTATGATGTAGCACCACTGACGAGTCACAGAAGGACAAAACAGCTGTATGATGTAGCATCACTGTCAGGTCCTAGAAGGACGAAACAGCTGTATGATGTAGCATCACTGACGAGTCACAGAAGGACAAAACAGCTGTATGATGTAGCATCACTGTCAGGTGCTAGAAGGACGTAACAGCTGTATGATGTAGCACCACTGACGAGTCCTAGAAGGACGAAACAGCTGTATGATGTAGCATCACTGTCAAGTCCTAGAAGGACGAAACAGCTGCACGATGTAGCATCACTGTCAGGTCCTAGAAGGACGAAACAGCTGTATGATGTAGCATCACTGTCAGGTCCTAGAAGGACGTATGTAGCATCACTGACGAATCCTAGAAGGACGCAACATCTGTATGATGTAGCATCACTGACGAGTCCTAGAAGGACGAAACAGCTGCACGATGTAGCATCACTGTCAGGTCCTAGAAGGACGAAACAGCTGTATGATGTAGCATGTCAGGTCAAGGACTGTGTATGATGTAGCATCACTGTCAGGTGCTAGAAGGACGTAACAGCTGTATGATGTAGCATCACTGACGAGTCCTAGAAGGACGAAACAGCTGTACGATGTAGCATCTCTGTCAGGTCCTAGAAGGACGTAACAGCTGTATGATGTAGCATCACTGACGAGTCCTAGAAAGACGAAACAGTCATCACTGACGAGTCCTAGAAGGACGAAACAGCTGTATGATGTAGCATCACTGTCAGGTCCTAGAAGGACGAAACAGCTGTATGATGTAGCACCACTGACGAGTCCTAGAAGGACGCAACAGCTGTATGATGTAGCATCACTGACGAGTCCTAGAAGGACGAAACAGCTGCACGATGTAGCATCACTGTCAGGTCCTAGAAGGACGAAACAGCTGTATGATGTAGCATCACTGTCAGGTCCTAGAAGGACGAAACAGCTGTATGATGTAGCATCACTGACGAGTCCTAG